GAACCACTGGTCTATACTATTATGGTCACCACACTTACAAAATGATAAATCTTCTCCAAAGTATGTCTTGTGAGGTATCATAGAAAAAGTAATTGCTTGCTGAATATTAGTGTCCCGTTAAAATGTGTCTATCAGCACTGTCCATGGAGCTCTCAGAGTTTGCTGTATGTTTGTTACATGTTGTAAAGCTGAAAAACGCCCACAGATGAGCTGCTCAGAGACAATGGCACCTGCACACCAGCTAGGTGCTACATGGCCAGTAATTGCTCAGCCAGCCATTCAGCAGCTGTGGAGCTGGGAACAGGAGAGTTACAATTCACCGGAAGGACAGCTGGACGCTCACTTAGGCCACAAACTGATTGTCGCCTGCCCCCCGACTGGGGGATGAACCTCAAAGAGGAGAGTGGTATAAAAGCACAAGGGAGAATTGTCTCCATTTTTACCTCTCGTCTCCCATTTTTACAGAAGGCAACAAGATGGCTTGAAAGGCAACAGGGGCCTTGGAGTGGGGAGGACGGACCAAGGCTGGAAGGAAATTCAGGCTGGGTACTAAAAACTATGAACTGCCTGCAACAGTGGGTGGGGTGAGAAAACGTGCTTGCTTTGCATTTTCCTTAGCCCTTGGCTACACTTGCAGATGGACAGCGTTGTGAGTTAAACCTGAGTTTGTACAGCTGAGTAGGGAAAGCACTCCAGTCTGTCCACACTGACAGCTGTCCAGCACACTGTCGTGGCCACATTTGCAGCATTTGCTGTGCCATTGGGAGCGGTGCACAATGGGCAGCTATCCCACAGAGCACCTCTTACCATTCTGGAGCCGAGGGTTGTGGGAAGGGGGCGTGGGTGTGGGCCATTCTGGGTCCTGTCCCAACGCCCTGTGATGCATCGCTTCTCATCCCAGAAATCCCTTTGTTTCCGTCCACCTTTGGTACCATCTTTCAACGATTTCTGTGCAGCGTGATCTGTCTGCGGGAAATGGAGTCCGAACTGCTGAGGCGTATCCTGACTTATCTCGTCAGCACATCACGTTTGGCTGTCGAACTATTCTTTAAGATCCAAAGTGACAGTGAGGAGTCCGACGATGCTGTCGAGCCGCGTAACGCGTATGACACGAAATTGCTTGTGGCATCCACGAACATTCTCAGCACCGTGGAACGCCGCTTTTGGGCTCGTGAAACAAGCACCGAGTGGTGGGATCACATCGTCATGGAAGTCTGGGATGACGTGCAGTGGCTGCAGAACTTTCGGATGAGAGAAGCCACTTTCATGGGAACAGGCCCCCACCCTGCGGCGCAAGGAGATGAGATTGAGAGCTGCCCTGCCAGTGGAGAAGTGAGTGGCTATTGCTATCTGGGAGCTGGCAACTCCAGTCTGCTACCGGTCGGTCGCAAACCAGTTGGAATAGTGTTGATGCAAGTTTGCAAAGCCATTAATCGCATCTTACTCAGAAGAACCGTGACTCTGGTTAACTTGCAGGAAGTAGTGGATTGCTTTGCACAAATGGGGTTCTCTAACTGTGGAGGGGCAATAGATGGGACACACATTCCTATTCTGGCACCACCCCACCTACGATCCGAGTTCGTTAATCGGAAGGGGTATTTCTCTATGGTTCTCCAGGCGCTTGTGGATCACCGTGGGCATTTCATTGACATTAACACAGGCTGACCCGGAAAGGTGCATGACGCACGCATCTTTTCGAACACTTGGCTGTTCAGGAAGATGCAGTCCGGGACTTTTTTCCCCAGAGCAGAAGGTCACGGTAGGGGAAGTTGAAATGCCTATTGTGATCCTTGGAGATCCCGCTTACCCGTTAATGCCCTGGCTCATGAAACCCTACACAGGGAGCCTTGAAAGCAGCAAGGAATGGTTCAACTATAGGCTGAGGCGGTGCCGAATGACTGTGGAGTGTGCCTTTG